TGATAGCAATATTCCAGTGTTTAAGAGGCTGTCACAAAGAAAGAGGGAGGGGTGTCAACCAGGGGTGGGATTCTACCAGTTCACACCTATTCGCTAGAACCGGTTGTAAATATTCTAAGCAGTTCGGAGAACCGGTTATTAGAAGAAATTACTGGCCTAATCCTGTAAGGAAGGCAGGAAGGAAACATTCTGGTGTTGCTTACAGAAACTGCCTCTCCGTTAACCCTTATAACATTCTTGGCAGGACTAGACTTCCTGTCTCAGGAACTTCTCTGGAGTTTTTCCCCCCTCCTTTGCTGGTACTTTGCTTGTGTGGAGTGACCACTCAAAGTTACAATGGCACTGAAAAAAGTGACTTATGACCATTTTTCACACTTACGACTGTTGCAGTCATGAGAGGCAAGGCGAGGAGATGCATGCCTCGATGTGAGTGATATTGAGTTGGCCACGCCCAGCCAATATCATGACCACCAAGCCATGTCCACGCAATCGCATGCCCACCAAGCCATGCCCACCACCTAAGCCATGCCCACAGAACTGGTTGTTAAAAATTTGAATCCTACCCCTGGGATCAACTTATTTTCCAAAGCACCAGAAGGCAAAACAAGAAACAATGGAAGGAAAGTAATCAAGGAGAGAAGCAACCTGGAATTAAGGAGAAACTTCGTAACAGTGAGGACAATGAACCAGTGGAACAGCTTGCCTTCGGTAGTTGTAGGTGCTTCATCACTGGAGGTTTTTAAGAAGAGATTGGACAGTCACTTGTCTGAAATGGTATAGGGACTCCTGCTTGAGCAGAGGGTTGGACTAGAAGATCTCCAAGGTCCCTTCCAGCTCTCTTCTGACTGACTCTGCTTTTAACTGCAATCCAAATGCAGAACCTGGTAATCTAGCAGGCACCCAGGGAGTTGTGATTTGCCTAGATCTCTTGCTCAGGTACCGCTGTGCATTTTCCCAGCTAAGCTGGTCTCAGAAGCATTCTGCATTGTGTGAAAATGTATATTCGGACCCTGCAAAGAATATAGACCTAAAAATCTTGCTATTCAGACATTAACTCAATCATTCCATTCTTTTCGTACAATCCAAAATGAATTTACAATATTATTTTGGGGCAAGTTCAAGCCGGAAGCATTGCATTTACAGTGTAGCATAAATATAAACAAAGATGCTGGGTTTCAGAGAGAGAGAGAGAGAGAGAGATGAGACAATGAAAGGATGAGTAGAACTGATTGATGCGGGCAAAAGAATATGAAACTTAGCTGGTACGTGTAATTGTTGCTCCCTGTGATCACAGCTCCATTAAGAAGGACCCTAGGATGTTTCATACAAGGGAAGCGCTCTAGGCCAGGGGTCTCCAACCTTAGCAACCTTAAGACTTGTGGACTTCAACTCCCACTTTGCTGGCTGAGGAATTCTGGGAGTGGAAGTCCACAAGTTTTAAAGTTGCCAAGGCTCAAGACCCCTGTTCTAGGATCTCTATGGATCAGCTTGCATCCTGGCTTGGATAAAGTACCAAAAGGTTTTAGGATTTAAGTAGCTGTACCTGGAATGATTACAGCATAGCCATTACAGTAGCCTGGAAATCTGGGCTAGACAGGATGGCTTAGAGAGGGTCTGAAGTAACATGCAGACTAAAAGGTGGTGTGCAAGAAACCTATCCTGGAAGTGCGCACTTTTAGACGGATCACAGTCAGCCTCTCACAACCATAATGCTACTTTCTTTATGAGGCTTCCTTGAGCAGCAGCAAAATGTCCTCCTCTAACTCTGCGTCAGCAGTAGGGGTGGAGGGAAACCACAAGACTGAAATGTGGAAGACCTCCTCCTAAATCACTAAACATTTTAGCTCAGCCTAAAGCTATCCAAAGATACTCATCCGCAGAGTGCTTTCATCTGCTACTCGCTCCCCTCCTCCTTTCCTGCCCACCCACCTTTCTGGAAGCAGGAGGGGAATGCCAAGTGGCAATGACATCACTCGGGGGCCACCCCATTACATCACCCTTGCAGAACTTCCCAAACTCTAGAGAGAAGACGACTAACCAATCCAGAAGCTCGCTGGTTTAACCCTTGCACGTCTGCTATCCTCTCAAGCATGCACGCTGCTTCCTTAGTATTTGGCAGGACTACCGTCTTTGTCAGTAAGGACAGCACAGACCCTGGTGGAGTAATTTTAAAAAAAATGGAGGGGGGAGGATTTGAAGAGAGAGAACTCCCTTACAGAGAAGATCTAGCCTGTATGTTGGATGTGTTTCCACAACACCCTTAAGCGGCCAAACAAAGACTAGAAACTTACATTTGCATACCACACGAAGAGGTTTAGTGTATCAAAGGTGCTTTTTCAAAATGCAACTGGACTGGGGGGTTTTTTCCCTTGAGGAAGAAGAAGAAGAAGTTTTGCTTTTCCTCCAAGAAGCTTCATCAGTTCTGGCGGGAGGGTGGGGGCTATGGAGGGGTTAATTCTGACTGGATGGGGGCAGGATTGGAAGAGCTTCAATGGAATGTTTTCCCCATTGAAATGTTTCCATTGACATTGGATGGAAAAAAAGGTTGGAATGGCCTCAAGAGCTCTCAGGGAGAAAGCTGCATATTTACGTTTATTTTGCAGGTTTATTGTATATTTTACTTATTACTATGAGGAGGAGCCTTAGCGTACTGCATAAGCCTCCTTTATCTGCTTATGTTTTTTATTGTTCATGTCCTTTATTGTGAGAACCTCTGAACATTGAGTTGTTGAATGGTTAAGTGTGCTGTGTGAAAACACAGCAATGGGATAGATTACTGACACAGTTAGCCAACTTTGGTTTCCTAAGAGCCGTAGTCAAGCGCAGGCACAACTACTACCCAATCCTGACTAGTTCGCATGAGCACAGAAGGAAATTGCAAGACCACAAGGAAACAACACCAGAACCACATCCTTACTGTTTCATTCAATGCTTGAGCCCAGTATTCTATTTCTAATGAAGGAAACCCCCCCAAAGGTCTGCGGGAAATTGTGCTAACTGAAGGTTTATCTCTTGAACCAAGGCATTCTTTCTACCCAACAGCCCCAGAAAAGGCCACAAGTACAACTCATGCAACAACACCTCCCCAGCTCCCCCCAGTAAAAATGTATGTACTTTTTGGAGTTGCATTTGCTTTCCTAATTATCATGGATATAACAAACAGTTCAACAGAATGATCCTGATCCTGAGTCCCAAATCTGAAAAACAGGGAAGGAAGGCAAGACACTCTCCCTGCATTGCTCCTCAGCAACAAATACTGCCACACAACTATCTCTGGAGGCCAGCTGCTGGCTCTGCCCTCTCCTCTACCCATGTGCTCTGCTTCTCTGGGTGGCAGCCTCCCTTCCCGCTCTTGGGAAAGAAAATCCAAGGTCAGATCAAGAATAATATGCCGGCTCAAGGTTGACTCGGCCTTCCATCCTTCTGAGGTCAGAAAAATGAGGACCCAGATTGTTGGGGCAATAGGCAGACTTTGTAAACCGCTTAGAGAGGGCTGTAAAACACTATGAAGCGGTATATAAGTCTAAGTGCTATTGCTATAATTACTGCAGCCTTAACTAGAATTAAGACAGAGAACAGTATTTAGATTTTTTTTATATCCTGTAATAACTCAAGATGTTGAACATACCCAATAGCAATAGCAATAGCAATTAGACTTATATATCTCTCAACAGTGCTTTTACAGCCCTCTCTAAGTGGTTTTCAGAGTCAGCCTATTGCCCCCCAAAATTTGGGTCCTCATTTTACCCACCTTGGAAGGATACAAGGCTGAGTCAATCTTGAGCCTGGTGAGATTCAATCTGCCAAATTGCAGGCAGCTGGCAGTCAGCAGAAGTAGCCTGCAGTACTGCATTCTAACCACTATGCCACCCTGGCTAATACTCCTCTCTCCTCCTATTTTCCTCACAACAACCCTGTGAGGCAGACTGGATTGACAGAGAGTGACTGACCTAAAGTCATCCAGCAGACTTTCATGCCTTAGGCAGAACTAGAACTCATGGTCTCCTGTTTCTAGTCTGATGCCTTTACCTTAAGGTTAAAAGGATCTAACCAAGAGGATCTATTTATAAGTATGGTATTGAGTTTGTCTTACATACACAACACACACACTTCATCAACACACATGGCTAAGACAAACTCGATACACAAGCCTGATGATGGCAGATGAGATTCTGCCGAAACGTCGCTACAACTTTAAAAGCACAACTATAAAGACATGGGAAAATACCCGAACAAAGCTGAATACCATATATATATATATAAGCAATGCCAGAAACCATGGCTGCACCAACTCATGCATTTTGTGAAAGATATGGAGAACAGATGATCGCCAACCTGAGAATGTTGTGCTTGCAAGAGTCTTCTGGCTCCTATTTCAAATAAAGTCATGGTTCCTATCAAGCTCTCTTCTTCGCTCTTTAAACCTTGCCTGTATCTGAAGTTAAAATTAAGTGCAGGGCATTGCAGTCATTTGCTGTTGCCACCCTTTCATCTTTTCCACCCTCCCATTTTGCTCACTGTCAAACATAATTTGCAAAATCCTTGGGGCAGAGAACTGTAGATTTAATTAATGTGCTTTTTGAGCAAAAAGTTATTCACAGCGCAAAGCAAATAATACAAAGCAGTGTTGACGCAAGAGATTCAGCCCTCCCTTCGTTATGGGGGTAATAAAATATGGCCTTCTCTTGCACACAGATGTGAACTTTTGCTTTCCTTCAGTTGAGGGCTGAAAACTTCATCATCAACTGCAAAACTTCTTTGATCTGCCAAGCATCTAATTGAGCACTGGGAGTGTCATAACAAATGATCAGAACAGAACTGAAAACCGCTGCACATCCCAGCTCTTTGCTGACATGCTTTGTCCTACTTTGAAAGAAAAAAAAAACCCTGCTGAAATTACTTTATTCACTCTGATTTCCGAACCTGCTAAAACTTTTTGGCTCATAGAACTCAGCCACTCAGAGATTTATCAGAAAGTACAAATGCCAAATGCAACTTACTTGGCTCTCGCCATCCGGAGGCGATTGCGTTTTAGCACGGTGGTCAGCATGGTTGGTCGAGTTTCCTTCTTGTCACCTGCTCACTGATGGCACTTAAAGGGCGACCAGGGGCATTTTGGTCCTTGCCTCCAGAGGAGCTCTGGACTCTGCCCAGACTCTGCAGCACCCCCTGAACTCTTTCAATTGTCCACTTGCTTCAAAGAGGCAGGGGAGTGACATACAGTGGCGTTGTCCCCTTGATCTAGCACCCACTGCTGTGACTCAGGCGTCCGTTCTGCTATCTAACTACCAGGAGGAAGCTGTCTTGTAATCACACTGTGGGACAGAACTTCCTTTGTGTGCACGCCTTCTCTGTACAACTTTTCCTCTGAGCGCCAACCCTCCAATGCAGCGGAGCAGTCAAAATCTGGCTGCTGGAACCTCACTGATAGATGCACGGCTGAATCCATGCGAGCTCCATGGAACACTGCCCAACCCAGCCCAGGACGCTTGCCTATCAATCAACAGCCCTACCATGTTGGCTTCCTCAGTGCCTTTTCAACCACCAAACCAGCGGTCTGGGATACGGGAATATCACCACAACACATTGACACATAATGTTATCCATCCACAGCACTTGCTCAGTTTCTCCATACACCCCCCCACATCCTCCCTTGAGCTGCGTTCTCCCGAGTGTGGGTGTGAGAGAGTGGCTGTTTTATTTCCAGCCAGATGACAGAAAGGAGACAGGCCTCAACTAGATTAGCCTGGGACTCTGGGACTCAGCTTAGTGCTGAACAAGCAAAGAATGGCAAGCCAGAGGACACAGGAGGTCCCCCAGCTAATGCCTAGCAGGCAAGCCAACTCTTTGTGCTAACCAGCTGCTGCTATCGCTATTAGTAGTTGCTCAGCCCCAGCCATGTGAAAAGAGGAAGGAGTGATTGGGTGGGGGATGCAAAACCAAGAACAGAAAGCAGGAATCAAGAAACAGTAGAAGAGTTCGGGTCTACAGCCACACACACACATCCCCCCAACAAGGAAACTACAGCTAATTTTTAAAAATATTTATAGCCTAGATCTTATGGCAGGTTACAATCCACATAAAAAGGCAAGACAGAAGACTAAAATAAACGAGAACTTCATTTGCAACGCATGGTAACCATCCCAATGATATCACTAAGTTATGTTCAGAAAACATGCTTAGCTAATTGGATCTGTTCGAGATCGAACGCCTTGTTTAGTTTTTACCACGATGGGCTAATATGCTTTAGCAACCCAAGCAATGAGACTTTATGATTCACTGGGCTACGTGCACCCTCTAAATGAGTGACTTGAGTAAGCAGGTCAAGATATTGTGTCAATGAAGCCATATGGAGCACTGAAGGGACAAGAGACAAAGTTAAACTGTAGATGTTCTGAACATTTTGAACATGAGAGCCAAAAGCCAGAGGTTTCTTTCATGCTGAAAAGTTGAGAGAGACAGCCCTGGTGTGGCCTGCAAAGGTAGCCAGAGCAATCAAGGCCATGCCCTGCATCCCAACGTAACACTCTCAACCTTGGATCCCTGAGAGGAGCCCTCCCCCTTATAGTTTCAGGGTTGAGATTAGTCTTTCCTGGAGAGGTGCTTTCTTAAATATTGGATTCCTAAAGCCTGAAGGCTCTTCTCCAAAGCTTTGAGTTTGCCAATTACGTACAGCAGCCAGCACTGCTAGATGGAACTGCATTCTGCTAGGAGAGCAGAAGATGAGAAGAAACGCCTCCTTCTTCATTGGTGGTTCTTCTACCCATCTCCACTACCTGTGATACAGTTTACTTGCATTTGGAGTCTACTGATTCTAATGAACTTCACACACCAGCCTTTGGGGGAAAAAACTTCTGTTGTTTGATATTATCCAAAATCTTACGCCCATTTCGAAAGGTTTGTTAAAGGGAGACGTAATGTAAGGGTTCAGAATTTAAAAGGGACTACCCCTTGGTTGCGATGGAGAATATCTTTTCCCTAATTTAATTTTACATGCCACAGGCAAGCAAAAGTGTTCCTGGTTCAGATCTCCACAACTTAAAACATAGCGCCTGCTTTCAAATTAGCCACTTCCTCTAAAGGATCTACAGACATTTCAGTTCATAGAGGATATCTGCAAAATCAATTCCACCGAAACCTAAGATATACTTCTGAGTAAAAGGGATTCTATTGTGTGACTCAGTTATATGTTCACCCAACACATTTAACCTGGTCAGTTTTCTGGAGGGGGCATTCATACGAGTTATTGACTGTGAACAAATAGGCCGGGTTTGCACAATATACTCGACCAGGAAAAAAAACAAAAACCACCTGGTTTCGTATTCAGAAAAGAGCAGATTGAGCCTGCTGCTTCTGCATCTGCTTCTGCTTGCAGGAAAGTGATCTACCTGATGATCCAATGGCAGATGATGAATGGAAACAGCAACTTCCACAATGCAATAAAGAAGCAGCCATCTTGGCTGGCATCCCAGGCTCCTGTGCAGCTATAGCTCTCAACATCTCTTTTAGCTACCAAAAAAGAAAATTCCCACAGTGATAAATAAGGGCTGAAGTTAATAGGGGATGGCACAAGGGAGTGGGGGGAAATCCTTTGCCCTTAGGAGGAAAAAGTAAGGAAACTTGAAAAAATAGCCTGTTTTTTTTCCCCTGGCTGCTTTAAACTTCCATTTCTCTGTCCCAAGGTCAAAAGGGAGATTCTGCTTAGGGCTATCAGAACAGGGATGCTGGCACGAAGACAAGCACTGGAAAGCAACAAACAAATAAAAAGACTTCCTTTACTGTCATCTAGTGGTCAGCCAGATTTTATAGCTCTACTTAATTAATTCTCTGTTCTTCATTCGCACAATGTGAACCCAACACAAGGCAAGGTTATACAAAGGTATTCTGGGCTTGATTCTGATCCAGAAATATTTGCACAACACTTTGAAATAACCAGTTAAACATGTCATGCAGATGTCACCAGTCACTTACAAAAACTGGAAGCACTCTAACCTCCTTGTTCAGATGGAGCAATGGTGCATGGAAGTTATTTTCTTGCAAGACTAAGGAGATTTTCAAAGCAAGGGTACTTTCTAATTCAAATTGATTGGCACCCTTCCACAAGCTGGCCCTATGGGATGTCTGTTATTGCGGTGAGCAATGCAAAAGCCTGCCAGCATGGCTGGCAAAGTTGCATAACACAAACCCAAGTACTATCTGCTTGTTATTTCTAGTCTGTGGCATCTCTTCTTCCTAGCAAGTTTAATATTTATGCCATAATTTGAGGTGCCTTTTGCGTAAGTTGCATCCAACAAAGGAACATCCAGGATATACCAGCGAGGGCCAAAAGTACTGGATCATTTTGTTAGGTTTCGAACATAGAATATAACTGGACAGCCTTTAACATGCTGGCTTTAAAATCCAGTGTTTAACATGACGAAAGCATCTCTCTCCCAGGCACAAGGCCTGGAGCAGCAGCTGTGCTTGTTTGAAATGCAGTTCAGCTTCAGCAAAGCATTGATTGGCTGGTACCTAGAATGTCATAAATATACTTTCCCTTATTTCCCATAAAAAGGCAGAATTGCACTTTTTCTGCTAAAATATATCAAAGGTTGGTGTTGTGGTTAGCCGGCAGCAGGTGCAGATGGCTGAGGAGAGCGATGACACTGATGAGGGGCCAGGACCATCAGGGAGTGGACTGCTGCCTTCAGGGATTGTGGGGGCTGACAGCAGTGATGAGGAGGTTCCCGAGGAGCCTGTGCCAAGTGTGCGTGAGCGCAGGATGATTCATAGAAGAGAACAGCTGGAGCAGCACGGGCGACTCGGGAGTAAGGATGCAACATAATGGCCCCTCCCTCCAGGGAATATAAGCCTGGTTTCAAAAGGTTTTTGCTTTTGCAGAAAGCAAAAACGTCCTAAGGACTCAGCATTGTGTGTGAAGACTCCGGCTTATCTGAAGAATTCCGTCAAGGCTTTTTTGGTTGGACTGATTGGCTGCAAGTCATTTTTTATCTACAAAGAAGTTATCTGTAGATTAAAACTGAGAAGGTTTGAGTTGCTGCGTTTGTTTGAGATTTTCTTGCTGGTAACAGGGTTGGGTCAGAACTGTTGGATTAAACATTGTTGGGACTGTAATTCTAAATAACTGAGCAATCATGAACCCAAGAGAACTGATCACTGTTCCCACCATGGTAAGACCTAGAAGCTGCTATAAGAAATGATGGTGATCATTGATTTAGAATGGCTTTAATAGATATTAGGCCAATTTATAGGGAGCACACCAGGACAATTGCTCGTCTGCTTCTTGCTTGCTTAGTGGTTTAGCATGTTGTGTGAACCAGCCTATTTGGTTCAGGGTGTGATAACAGTAGTTAAGTTGCTTGACTACTGGGGAATCAGGTTCGTCTTTGATCGGTTGCCTCACTGGATGGATCTGGCCCAGCTGTTATCTGTCTGCTCAATCTTATTTCCAATAAAATAAAATGAGAGATCACCCTCTTCCCTGTAAATCAGTTGGCACTCTTAGAGCTGACAAATAAAGAAGAACTGCCATTACTCAAAAAACTGACCAGGACCCATGCCGCTTATCAATTAGGGTGCTTTTTCTCTCTTTACACAACCACATTCTAGGTGTCATAGAATGATCCAGGTGAGCAATTCTGACATTAGTGTGGATCTCTACGTGCCCACCTTGCTTTGGACTCATAGCCAAAGAGGTTAACCTCTGCAGCAAAACCTTCCCTCTAGACCTCGGGTGACAAACTCGATCGTGTCATGTGATGTATCACAACGTATCACAATGTTTTTTGCCTTTGCGGATCTGGGGTGGTCATGGCCTGTACATGACGCATCCAGCCCGTGGGCCACCAGTTTAACACCCCTGCTCCAGACCCTGCAGGCCGCAGTCATCCCCAAAACCCCCCTACCTGAAACAGCTGGCATGCCAATCGGCGTTCAGGGCTTGCAAGTACTGACCGTCGTAGATGCTGTGGCTGCAACTGGCACATATTGGCAGGTCACTTCCTGGGGGACACAAAAGAGGTAATAGAGGTAATTTTCTGCAGCCTAGAGAGACAACTCAGCTGGAGCGGTAAAACTCTGGATTCTGGCAACAGACTTAGCTATTAAAAGTTTAAAAATGCAAGTGCTGGCCCTTTTTCTCTCTCAACTTCCCAGACTCTTGGGTTGTCCCTAAACATTCAATTCTTTTGAGACAG